TTGCTCGCAGTTTACACTGCTCAGGTACAGCCAATCAGAGTTTTGGTTTTAGAATGCCACTCTTTTCATTCAGTGCAATAAATTTGTCCATATGATGTCTACAGGTGAGGAGGCGTCAGAGAGCCTGATGAGCCTCAGTCCTTTTGACATGAAGAATCTCTTACATCACATCCTGAGTGGGAAAGAGTTTGGTGTAGAGAGGAGTAGTGAGTATCAGTCAGCCTTAGTTTTCAAGCTCTTTAGTCCAGTGAGTATTTTTGGGGTATTATTATGAGTATTATTATTATTATTATTAAACATACACAAGGTATAGTGACATAATGGGAACCTGCTGTTTCAAATGATTATATATATATATATATAACAAAGAGTGAAAAATTGAAGGGGGTCTGAATACTTTCCGTACCCACTGTATATATATATATATATATATATCTGGGGCATTGCCGCCAAGGATGCAAGGGAGAAAAATTTGTAGTACAAAAATAAAACATTGCCAATATTACACAATATAACATTAAAAAGTGTATAAATCACTAGTTTTTTTACTAAAGAAACATTGTCCAACAGCAACACCAGCAGGTAAAGTAAAAAATTCAAAAATAGTCAAAAGTTAACTATTAAAAAGAATAGCTTAACATAAGTTCACAAATAAAATACATTGTTTAAATTGTTACTGCCTTTAGTTATTATTTTGGAATATAATAACATTTTGGAATATAAGCATTTGTAAAATGCTTAAAAACACTAACTTGATGAGATTCATACTTGTATGAATTATATAAATAGAATATTGATTACATTGTTAATATAAAAATATAAAATCGATTTTTTTTTCTTCTTTTTCTGATGGTGTAAGTAATGTTTACATTTGAAAAAAAAAAAAAAACTTTGAGGACTTTGCCTCCTCATTTCGAAACACCACTGCATACCACTGCTATCTACATATACTTATACCGACCTATAGAAACATTTCCTGAAATATTATTTCAGAAAATCAGTATCATAGTATAGACACACACGCACACACACACACACACACACACACACACACACACACACACACACACACACAATTTATACTCCTATTCAAAAACAGGCATGTTGCTACTCTTGTGATCTCTTGTGTGAGCTGTTCTTCATTAATCGCTCTATATTATGTGAAAGTGCGTCCGATTCAGTCTTCAGCGACCAGTCCCGCCATCTCCATCCATGAGCTTGGACATACAGGGGCCACCAAGACAGAGCGTACGGGCATCAGAAAGCTCAAGACTGAAATCAAACAGGTGGAGTGAAAAAAGAGAAATGTCTGTCATTTATTTTTGTGTTTCAAAAATTGTGAAATATTTACTTACTGTTCAATTTAAATATAAATTTCTTCACTACTGTACCTTAAATGACATTTATATTATTTTGTTTTCAGCTTGATGACTCCAGACCCATAAGTGTGGGTTGAGTTTGTAATATTGGCATGCTGTGCTTAATACTTAAGAGTAGCTTTTTTGTGCAGAGCCCATTCTGTCTAGAGGTCACAGCACATTTGTCTAGACCATGAAACCAGTATTAGCATGAAAATTTTGAGTAATATTCAGTTTGCCCATATCATACACATCTTTTTCAGTCATATGAAGCATATTTTTGACTGTGAGTCTCTGAATGATGCCTCAACTGTTCGTTCATCTGAAATACCTTCCATTTTAATTTCAATTTTAAATGTTTGTATGTTCTGCTTTTATTCTCATAGATATTTACCAGCAGTCATTCCATCAGCAGTAATTTCACATCCCCTCGTTCCACGGTAACTTACAGAAAAACCTACCAAAACCCTCTCCACTAACACCTGCTCTCCACTATGTCAAATACTACTTTTTACAGTTTAGAAGATTAAAAATCAATTTAACTTGGAGGGGTGAATTCAGCCCGTTGGTTCTCAATAAATAAAAACGTTTTTTTCAGTGCCTCAGATTAGTTGACTGATTTGAAATGGGACAAACTTCCAGCCATAACAGCCAATTAAGATTTCTAACGTGTCACAAGTCAGTCTTGTCTTGTTGTGGTCATTTCACTCTCTTAGCATGGGCTGGCATTGTAACATCTTAACTGTGTTTGTCTTAGTTTCTGCTTACTAAACCTGAAGAAGCATGCTTTTAAGTGTGTTATATGTGCTGATAAGTGTTGTCACTGTAAAGCTGACATCCCACTAGTCAGATTTTCAGCTCATATCTTAATGATATACTGATGTAAATGTGTGCGTGTCTGTAGCGATGCAGCAGCCCCTCCACTCCCAGCGGGATCCTGTCTCCGACCGGTGCAGATGACTCACACCTGCAGTGGGAGGAACGCCAGGGCCAGTGGCTGAGGAGACGCAGACTGGATGGGGCCATAAACAGGGTGCCCATGGGCTTCTACCAGAAGGTCTGGAAGATTCTCCAGAAATGTCACGGCCTCTCCATTGCCGGATACGTCTTGCCTTCCTCCACCACCCGTGAGGTGCATCCACCTGCACACATACACATTTGTTCAGCAAGGATGCATTAAATTTATCGAAAGTGACAGTAAAGTATTTTACATTGTTACAAAAAAATCTCTTTCAAATAAATGCTGCTCTTTTGAACTTTCTGTTTATCAAAGAATCTTGAAAAAATGCATCACAATTTCAACAAAAATATTAAGCAGCACGACTGTTTTCAAGATTGCTAATTATAAGAAATGTTTCTTGAGAGAATGATTTCAGAAGGATAATATAACACTGAAACTTGTAGCAATGGTGAGCTCTGCCATCACAGGAATAAATTACATTTTAAAATACATTCAAATAGAGAAAGATACTTTAAATTGTATTTATTTTTCCACAATATTATTGTACTTTTTGTACAGAATTTTTGGAAAAATAAATGCAGCCTTGGCGAGCATAAAAGACTTCTTTCAAAAGCATAAAAAAATAATAATAATAATGTCAATGTATTCATATTGATCTGCTGTATTGCTATATTATATTACGTTGAACCTTAAACTTGGAATTTTCCTTTAAATACCCGTAATCATGGACTGTTGTCTGTGTGTATTATTGTAGATGACAGAAGGAGAGATCAAGTTCGCAGTGCACGTGGAGTCTGTACTGAATCATGTCCCACAGCCTGAGTACAGACAGCTGCTGGTGGAGGCCATTATGGTGTTGACCCTTGTAGCTGACATGGAGATTCCCAGTATTGGGGGAATTATTCACATCGACCGCATTGTCCACATGGCCAATGATCTCTTGCAACAGGATCAGGTATCATCATGCCTTTTTATATGTTACATATGATGCTCATAATATGTAGCTTGGTATGTGTTCGCATGTATTTACATTTATATAAGCAGGTGTGCTTGTTCTTTATTATTACGATTTTGTCATCAAAACTATGATATAGCACAAATGGAATTATGGGAATTATGTACTGCTGAAATTAGTTAGTCATAAAACAAACTGCGATTTAGTCATTGATGGCTGTTGTTTTCAGGGCATATTACCACTACCTCACTAACTTTCCTCCAAGACAAGAGTCAGGCTGCTACAGTGAGGTAGAAATCACTTTAATAAGTCAAAAAAACATCGCCTAGAGGAGGTATTTTGCTTAGTAACTTGGATATGATGTTGTTTGATAAGTATAAAAAGTAACTAAGTAACGTAATTATGTACGAGTAACGCAATATTGTAATGCACTTTTAAAGGTAACTTTTTACCCAACACTGGTTTCTGTCCTATCAACCCGCGACAGCTGCAAGTGACAGGGAATTCTATTTTTGAAACAGTTTCTATTTTCTTCAATGTCGCAGCTGGAACAACATACAAACTATGACAGTGATGATTACTCAGTACATCATTACTCGGGTAATGATTATATGATTTATTCAATGTTTAATAATCTGAGTTTGAATATTATTTTGCGTGATCTTTATAGCCATAGTGAAAGCAACAATAGATATTTTACCTCAGATCTTGAAAATAAATTAAAGCAAACTTGTACGTTAAAACTGTAAACTCACTGCGAACCAACATGTGTATTCCGTAACAAAGATATCAGTCACTCACTCACTCACTCACTCACTCAAAACTGTTCAGTCCATTCACATTTGAATCATCTATTTTCTGTGTCCACTTTTCTTTTCTACACACTTGACATGTTTTGCTGTCACATCGTATGTACAGTGGACGCTCACATATTTGAATCGATTTTCAACCGGCTCGCAGTTAATCGTTACATCCCTATGACAAAGCATTGCAAATCATTTGAACGTTGTGTCATTACGTTATAAATAGAACTAGTCAGCAGTTTACTGTCGGGGATTTGTCGTGTCGCGCCGCATCCAAGGCAGCATCAATACAAGTTCTCTTGTATTTTATTGCGTCGCGCCGCACCGCTTGCGTCCGGTGTAGACACGATGCAAGTTAATGTAGCTTTCTGATACTGTGTTTGAATTTTCATGCCACATTATTTGAAATTAGCACGGGCCAAACTTTTTTCTCTCGCCTATTGAGGAACCCTGATTTACAGTATAAAGAATGGTCAAGAAATGTCCAAAGAGTCTTAAAGGACAAGATCGTTGAAGTTTTCCTACCTTTTTGGCAATATGAGGAAATTTCAGAAACCATATTTCTCGGTTTTCTGTAGTTATGTGGCACTGATTTGAACCATTGTGCTGTGCTGAAAATGCTTTACCTAATTTGGTGTTCCTGGTTAAAAATGAACAGCCTTTTAAAAATTGCTTGTAAATCTGTCATTTTACTTGATCATCACCAAATCTTAGATTCAATCTGTTTGATTGAATCCAAGTAATAATATAGCATAGCATTAAAAAAATGTATAAAGAAATGTTTGTTTTTTTTCGTAGACCCGTCATTTTTGACCGGGAACACCACAAGTGTAACAAGATGGGGAAGAAAAATCACAAAAAGTTTTAGTCCAATATGATAATATTAGCATTTTCATGAAAAAGAAAATCCTCTCTGGGTCAAAATGACTGGAGCACAACATGAGTACCCTTTTTACTGCATAGATAGCCAAGTTTTATTACAAGCCAATCTTGCCAGCGGTGAATTACTGCTTTAATAATCATATGTTAATTAGGTTGGATGTGAATTATGTGAATGTTGATCTTCAGATTATTGTGGACAAGCCTGAGTCGGATCAGGAAGCTGTTAGCAGGAGGCTCTGATTCTGCAGTCTTCAACAGAATTCAAGCAAACTGCTCCAGACCTCATGTGTTTCTGCAGAGGTGAGCCAGTGTCATTCATTATCAGAATTAATGCTGCTTTTACGTGCTATCGGAATTATTGTAAATATGAGTTTACTAGTCAGAAATTAGACATGAACAGCCTTTCTAGTCATATTTACAACTGGGAAACTCTGGGATAATTTTGATACCCAAGTTTCCGAGTTGGGCGAGCCATAAAATTTAAATGTGGCGGAGGAGAGAAGCACAGCAGTAGTACCGTAAAGATTTATTCGTTTTTCTCACAACATCTTTATTGCTTTCTCCTGCCATTACAGTCATGTATATTTAAATATATAAATAACCATTTGATGCTTATTGTATGTATTGAACACCGTGAAAATAGCATTTATTTGACCAAAATTTAGGAATCGACATCCAGCTGAATATCTAGATAGTGCTGTGAATGTTTATATGATTACCAATGAATGGGGCGCTACATTTTATTCAAAACCTGTTGGATATAGACTAAATATCTTCTAATCAATACCTTTTGGCTTTAATAAGATTTCCCCAAGAAACAGGCAAGAATGAATAGGCTGTCCACCATGATTTCTGTTCTTTCTGACAACAAAGCACTTGAACACGACAAACTCATAAGAAGTGGGAAGTAGGACATTTCCGATAACATGTGAAGGCAGCATTACCCCATAACGGAGTTGAAAACAGGCTAAGACTTCATTTTTGTCCACTTCATCGATGGTGGTCTATTTTTGTCTGTTTTCCATTCATTTTGTGTGTTTTTTGTTTTGTTTTTTTGAGAATACAACAATCTCCCCCATCACAGTCTCGCCAGACTGTGGTTTGAAGTAGGGAGGTCGAGGAAAGGCACGGGCCGGTGCATATTTTTTGAGAATGGATGAACTTTGATTCTTATTCGGGCTGGGAGGTTGTTTTTTTGAGGGGAAACTGTCCCTTAAAATTGTCGCCTGATTTGGCCTAGTATTCTTTTAGTTTGAGGAATACGAAGTTTTTGGTCTTGACTTGGTGCAGGCCAGCGAATCAAGCTAGTAGCTTGATAATCCTGGTCTGGCATCGCATTCCCTCCTAAATCTATTTGTTTGGTAAAGTAAAGATATTGTTACGATGGTTATAGCTTAATAAAGTTTGTTAGACTATGCTCCTATTGGCTTTGTTTTGTTCCCTTCTAAGAGATTAGCCTATTGGGCATTGGTCACAAGGGTTGGGAAGGCTAGATTTCAGGTCCATAAAATTAAACATAACATAACACATAACAAATGAAAAAAAATATATAATCAATCTGTCAAAAATACTATTATAAACTAGGTTAGTGGATAATTCAGCAGCAAAAGTTACTCTAGAAAAATCATGAGTGCACAAGTTTTGAACTCTAAACATTTGATGAAAATATTGTTTAGTGGGGAACAAATAAAAGTGAATAAGTATAGGACTAAATCTGGTAAAATGTTACACATTGCTCTTTGTGTTGTTGAAAAAACATTTTTTTTGTGGATACTGCAATACATTATTTTTAGGGTTCTTTGATGAATAGAAATTTCAAAATAATAGCATTTAGAATCATTTGAAATAGAAATCGTTTGTAACATTATAAATGTCTGTACTGTCACGTTTCTTAAAAAAATTAAATCTTATTGACTATGAATTTTGAACTGTAGTGTACATAAGTGGAACAAAATAGCATTAAATTTCTGTAGTAATTTGTTTTATTATATTCATGAGTGCCTTTGCAAGGTGGTTTGATTAAATTCTGTAGCTATTATTTCTATCGGACACTGAAGATGCTGCTGCTCATTATACCGGCAAATTGTGAAAATCAAGTGAGCTGCATATCAGGGTCCACAAGCGCATCACTTTAACTGTCTGTGCACATTCCAACAATTTCTCATTTCAGTTTGATTTAGAGTTCGCAAAGTGACTAAAAATGACAAATAACTGTTTTTATATTAGCACAATGTATCTTAAAGGGTTAGTTCACCCCAAAATGAAAATTCTGTCATTAATTACTCACCCTCATGTTGTTCCAAACCCGTAAGACCTTTGTTCATCTTCGGAACACAAATTAAGATATTTTTGATTAAATGTGAGAGCTCTCAGACCCTGCATAGACAGCAACGCATCTGTAATGTTCCCAGGTCCAGAAACGTAGTAAGGACATCAGTAAAATAGTCCATGTGACATCAGTGGCTCAACTTCATCGGTAAAACAGTCCATGTGACATCAGTGGCTCAACTTCAGTTTTGCGAAGCTACGAGAATACTTTTTGAGCGCAAAGAAAACAAACAATAACACAATTTATTTAACAATTCTTCTCCCCCGAGTTACGTCTTCCGCCATTTTGGAGAGTACCCAAGAGCGTAATCAACGTAATCAGTGTTGTTTACGTTCGGAGGAGAAAGCACGCGCATGAACGTAATCTGCGTAATCAGCGTTGTTTATGCTTAGGGGAAAGTGTGCGTATGTGTTGTGATACTCTAAAATGGCAGAAGACGTAACTCGGGGGAGAAGAATTGTTGAATAAATTATTTTTGTTTTCTTTGCGCTCAAAAAGTATTCGCGTAGCTTCGCAAAACTGAAGTTGAGCCACTGATGTCACATGGACTATTTTACTGATGTCCTTACTACGTTTCTGGACCTGGGAACATTACAGATGCGTTGCTGTCTATGCAGGGTCTGAGAGCTCTCACATTTCATCAAAAATATCTTAATTTGTGTTCTGAAGATGAACAAAGGTCTTACGGGTTTGGAACAACATGAGGGTGAGTAATTAATGACAGAATTTTCATTTTTCGGGTGACCTATCCCTTTAAAATTGTAATATTCAAAGAAAGATGAAATATACTCCAGTATTATGCATATATATATATATTTAGTAAAATATTTTTTTATATGCATATATTTAGGAATTTGCGTCGATGCAAGGATCTGCTCTCCGTTCAGACCAACCTGTCCATTACCAAAGCCAAACCACGGCATCGTAAGAGGTCACGATCTGTGGTCTGGCCGCCCGTTGCTGGCTGGCGATTTTCTGTGAAAAGGAAGCCTTCCTTGAACAGCACATTATCTCAGCAGCTTTATCCACTCGACCTTAGTGTCCGTGTGAAGCAGAAGGACAAACTTCTTGTAGATGACAAGATTTCAAGATTAAATGCAGATTTGAAGCAGAACTCGGATGTCTCTAGCAAACAGAGGACGACTAATGTCCGGAGTAAATCAAACAAGCAGGAAGTGTCTGATGGCATAGACGGAACGCGGCGGGTGCTGAAGTTTGATGACACCCCTGAAACTGTTGCTGTGGAAACTGCGGAACAGAGGAAAAGCCCTCGGCAGAAGCACAACCGTGGAGAGATTCGTGAAGCTCAGAATGGTTTCCAGAATGAGCAGCAGGAAGAGATTTCTGAGGATTCGGATGGGTTCAGGACGCCCACAGATCTGTTCAGCGTGAAGCCCAAGATTAAACGAGGGAACCAGAAGAAAGTCTCTGCCTCTGGTAAACCTGCCGTACAGAAGCCCAACTTCATGTCCATGTTAGCCACACTGGTGAAGAATCAGAACCAGATTATTAAGGAATCCTGCAAATGAGTCTCTTGAAATTTTGTAATTCTGTTAGTCATTCAAGTTTTGCTAATTCTGTTAATAGATCTCATCTCTGACAAAAGTCTGCTGATGTTTATTTATTGTTCATTTGTTTGTGTTCTAACGTTAGCATTTGCATGAGTAAATACGTCTTGCATTAAATGATCAGTTTGTTTGTGTATGCTGTTAACTCCACGGTGGCTTGAACTGCAGTTACTGTAATAACCACAGAGCGGAGCTGTTTCCAAACAAACTTGCATATCTTCACTCGCTATATTCAGTCTTTAGTTTCTTAAACCATTTTTAATTATTACAATATATGACTTAAAAAAAAATAGACTTTCTCACACTTTTATCACATTAACTTAACATGATGTTTTGACATCTATGAGTCTGTACATAATGCAGGACTTCCTGTTTTTCAGTAGATCAGGGACATTTTTTTTTATCTCACACTAGATTTAAATGTCCTTCAGAGTCAGCAATACATAAACTATATATATATATATATATAAATAATATAAATATAAATTATATATATATAATACAGAATATAAACATAAATATAATATAAAAAAAATATTTTGAAATTGATGGTTCCATGATGGAAATGTGTGAAAAAAACATTCTTCAAATTATTAAAATATTCTTCACGTTAAGAAAAAAAAAGGTTCTTTGTAGAACTGTTCATTGGAAGGTTCTTTGGGGAACCCAAAATTATTCTATTGCATTGCTGTTTTTGGACACACTAATGGACACATTTGATTGTTAATGATTATTAGACATCTATACCTACCTAATTATTGAGGTTGTGGCTGATGTATTAAATATAATATAATATAATATATAGAAGGTAGAAGGTTTTTGAGACAAAGGATCAAGTATAGAAATGATTTCAATAGCTGTTTTGTTTCAGACATTTTTTGTAAAACCTTCTTGTATTTAAAATTATTTTGTGTGAATTTTATCATCCAAGCCAACATTCTAATATATTTTGTATTAAAATTATTAAATTAAATTATTTTGTATTAGCTGTTGACAATAAAACTACAGTTGTATACATGAAGGCAAGGGTCAACTATGTTATGAAAGGTAGATTTAATTTGTGGTTTTTCATAAAGTTTGGGGGAAGTTGTTATGAGTTAAATTTTATAAACTTGTGCAAATTTATAATTTGTGTGGCAAAGCAATGGTTTGATTTTTGAATATTACTTTTTACATTTTTTTGTTTGTTTTTGACTTACTGTAATTATAACTTAGCCCATAAAATGTAACAAGAAGCCCCAGTAGCACACTATGTAGGGTAAGATAAACGTGCATTCATTTTTATTTTATGTGGATTAAATTTTCAATAGCTTTTTATTACCAAGCCACCCTGAGAAACATTCACTGAATCTTAGACTATCCCAATTAACTATCCCAATATTGAATAAAATAAATAAATAAATATAATACTATGGAAATGTAAAAATTTGATGTGTTATATTTACATAAAATGTATTTTATTTTTGCAGAGTCTCATGATGATAAAATAGCCAAAATGCTTCCGAATAGCACTTTTGTCAATAATAAAAACTGCCCACGAGGCAAGTCTTCTGCTGTTTTAACACTTAGTGGTTTTAAATGGATTTACATACATAAAAAGCTTTAGTGTGATGTGTGCTGTTATTGGTGCTGATGTTAAGGGGTTGGGCTCAGTGACTCCACTGTCACAACCTAAAAGCGCACTGATCCATCACACAACATCAGTTTAGGAAGAGCGAGCGGGCAAGGATGCAGCAAAACCGGACTTTTACCCAGGGCACTGCTTAGAGAGCAGTTTTCTTTTTCTTTTTTTCTTTTGGATGGACAATCACATCCACACATAATCGTGTTAGGATATGTGAGTGTTGCAGAGGAAAGGCATGCAGCCAAATGAGCAGAGCTAAGAGGATTTAATGCAGCTGGACATGAGCCACGCTGAGTAAAGAAGAAGATTATATTGTTTTAATCAAATGCAAAGAAGTTTTTATTGCTGGTCACTTTGAGTTTGGACTGTCGAGGAGCGATGTTTGTCTTCATCTCTTTATGCACTCCGAGCATAAGTATGCTCACCACACAGAGATGTATGGGTTCAACTCTACAGTAAAAGGGTGAGTTATATACTACAATTGATTACTGATTATTACACATAATTTGCTATTAATTAATTTATTTGGTAACGCTTTTGCATTACTTAGTTTGGTGCCCCTATTTCATGTAATATGACTTTATATAACAAAAAATAACTATAAACCTCTTCTCAAAATAATTGCTTGTTCATTAATATTGCTCAGTACTTATTCAGGTACTTGACATTTTAAGCTGTGAAAGCAGTTTCCTGCAGTGTCATTCTATACTCCATTACTAACAACATTACTGTAATTTTATTTAACGTTTTTATGACTTCATTTTATTTGAGAGACTACATGGTGTGTGTAATTTTTAACATTTATTTGTCACACCACAGGGTCTGCAAAAAAAAGTTAAAAGGTTAATAAAATGGTAAAAGCCTAATTAAAGCAGTAAACCAGTTTTATAGCTTTTTACTTTCTGTGTACATTCATATACATTTTAACTGGTTGGCAATGACATGCAAACATAATTATACCGTTACATGAAATAATGTACCTTTTGACCATTTCTTGTTATTTGTTGTTTGTTCTAATTTCCTATATTTCCTCATGTCTTGAGCATGATAGGTTTTGTGTTTTTAGGAATACTGACACGAGACCTTTCCACGGGTGGACCTGATCTTTACTAAGCCAGATCTGGACTCAAAAAACACATGAAGATGTGCCAGTGTTACTCTGCCCTGCTTATGATCTGCTTGCACATGGTATGAGTTTTATTTAAATTGTTTTAATTAAAACTATTATATGTGTATTTGGTTTGACAAAGTTAATGAACCTTTTCTTCTCCCAGGGTGTATTACTTGTGAAAGATGGAAAAAGACACTATGTATTATTATTATTGTTGTTGTTGTTGCAATTAATACTTATCTCTATATACCAGTTGTCTTCACTGTCGTGCTATTTTTTGGAAGTAGTGTAGTATTTGAGAAACAGGTGGGTATGAATTCAAAAACGAATAATTTTCTAATTTTTTAAATAATACATTAATACATTATATTATTATATTATTAATTAATTGTAAAGAGACCAAATTGTTTGTATAATCCAAATATGCCTTTATGCCATGGCATTTTGTCTCATTTCCTCTGTAAATCTTTGAATAATCCAGTTTCCGCATGGCCCTTAATCCATCAGTTTTGCTTATTTCTCATGAGGGGAACAAAATGTGTGTGTGTGATTGTGTTTTTATTTCCAAAGATGAATTTGAATGCATATGAATTGACTTCACAAACCCAACGCAGTTTAATTTAAGACTTTATCCCAGAAACCAGTTTAAACCAGTTTAAGATTACATTACAACCTTGTGATGGCTCCTCTCTCAAGAGACTTTTCT